AGTTAAAAGTATAGTCTGAATTTTAAAACACCCAATATTTCAGAATTTGTTTTTTTTCTTTTCAAAATGTCTACGATTCCGGCGACCAGTCAGAACAAATATTGTCGGTTAAGCTCAGGGTAGATAAACTGCTTGAACAGTAAATTGCTTTGCATTTGTATTACACATCATTTGTCTTTCAAGATCCTACACATACCAGAATAATTCTTCTTTCACAGTTACATAAATGGTACATAAAAGAAATGTATTAGTCATTCTTAAATCATTTATCTTTTTCAAAGTTTTGCTTTGCTTTTTCAAAAGCTATTAGTAGAAATAGAGAGACCAATCATAACATTTGCTACCAATTTCGCGAATGTGAGATGTGTTAAATTAATTGATAACGTTATGACTGTTGATGAATGGGGTGAGAGTGGGAATTTGACTCTAAACAAAATATATCTAGATATCTTTGCAGAATCAACACTGAAGGACCTGTAAACAAATTATGCAAATATGAACCATATATTCATCAGTGAAATGAATCTCCAAAGACGTCATGTCATATCTGAGATAATCTAGATATTCCGATTTCATGATTCAGTTTTCGAGCATGTCCAAACTATGGACTCTATAATTACTTAAAATTAGAACCAAAAAGCTTGTTTGTTTTTTTAATTATGCACAAAGCTACACAAGGGCTATCTGTGCTCTGTCCACCACGGGTATCGAAACCCGCTTTCTAGCGTTGTAAGTCCGCAGACATTCCGCTGTGCCACTGGGGGTGGGGGGGGGGCACCAAGAACCTTAATCAACATTTTGAAAGAGATTGCACTTTCAGACTCATCTGTTGATGAGACTGATGAAGATTGGAAAGCTCAAAGTCTAGTTGCGCTTCCCAACATCATTAACATGGATGTTATTACTTTCTCTTTACCCTTTCCTACTGGTACTTTGTCAGAAAATAAAATGTTGTTTTACCATTAAAAGTTTTGATCTGTCTTGTCACTAGAAATAATTTAAATGCTCTTGAATAGATCCATGAATCAGTCTAACGAACAAGATAAAAAGAAACTGAACAAAAGGGAATAACTGTAGTATGTTCTATAGGAAGTGTTTTCGTTTCAACACAATGAAAGTATCACAACTTTATTTATTTATGCCTCTTCCTTTCTCAAACACTGTTGTTGAACGTACGAAAAAGTTATGAGAGAAGCACTTGTAAATTGTATTTAAGGCAAAACTACTAAGGATATCTACTACTACTACCTCCTAATTTTGAATTTCCGATAACTGCCTGCCAATATCCACCACTAACTCTTAAGCTACTCTTTATCAACAAATAGTGGAATTGACTATACATTATAACACACCCATGGCTGAAAGGGCTAGCA